GCACATCTTAATCCCTTGTCCCGTTTCTACCCAGAAGCCCATGAGGAAGCGCCGCTTTCGCCCGCGCAGCCACCCTCACAGCAGCGTGGTGACTGAGACCATTTCGGAGACCACGGAGGTGTTGGATGAGCCTTTTGTAGACTCTGACTCAGAGAGGCCTATGCCCAGGCTGGAGGAGGAGACTCCACTGGGTCACCCGCTGCGCCGCTACCCCCAACCGCAGTCCGCTCTGAGGTTGTCTGACCCTGCGCCAAAGAGGGGCCGACTCTCCAACCTCACAGATTCGGAGGAAGATGGTGAGCAGTGATGAAATGTGAAGGACTACACATGTATGGACTAATCGTACATACATGGGTAGGACTTTGGCATGGCAATTCCAAAACCTTTGTGTTAGCCTGATTTTTTCCATTCCACAACCAGTTGTAATGTGTGTTTCTGGTTATTGCTTTGATGCTGGCATAGTTGTGTCCAAGTTTAAGGTTGTCCTGAAGATTACTGAGGTAGTCTGCCTCCTTCGTTATTCCAGCCGCTCTGTTCAGCGTGCCAGTGCTCTGAAATAAACTGCAAATTTTAGTTGAGTTTTAACAGAGGCTTGTGTCTTGGATCGCAGCCTCTCAGTCCATGTCAATGTAAAACTCACCTAATGTTGGACAATGATAAAAAATATTCCAGTAACTTCCCATTTATGAGAGATGACAATCCTAACGATGTCTGCATGGGGAGGGTGAAAGCTTGGGTCTTCTTCCTGGCCTTGTGATAGTGGTGACATCTCCAAGTAACTTCTACTCTGATGTACAGTTGTTTGAACTGATGAGTTACTGGCATCTACTGACATTCACTGGTTAAGATGGAGTTTAGTTATTTAGTCTGTTCAGAGGAGTAGTTAGAAAGCCATCACATTTATTTTCACAGTCTGGCCAGAACTTTGTGCAGTAGCTGTATCTAACCACTTCATCTTCTTTCCTTTGCAGAGCTAACAACTATGCCGAAGTCTGTAGCTGCTTTGACAGCAACCCCATCAGAGACCCTTGGGGCCAACCCTGAAGTCCCAGTCAAAAAGAAGAAAGGCTGGCCCAAAGGAAAGAGCCGCAAACCACAGCACTGGAAGAAAAGAGGCAAGCCACCTGGCACAGGACCCAACCAGAGAGCAGCTGCAGACGGCCAGGCCCAAAGTGGGAATCCTCAGCAACCCAAAATCAAGATGAAGCCTGGTCGCAAGCCCCGGAGCTGGTACTTGCAGCGGGCCCAGGAGGAGGCGGACAGGCAGGAGCAGGAAAGACAAAGGTTGCTAGAGCAGCAGCAGATGGACAAAGTTCCTCAGCTGCTGCAGACGGATGACCGGAACAGCAAGCAAGTCTGCAGAACTAACACGGACAGAGACGTCAAACAAAAAGACTCTGACGAAGAAGATGACTATCTCCCTAAGCCCGTTGAACAAAAGATGCCCCGAAAGCGGGGGAGACCGCCCAAGAACCGCCAGCCACCACAGCCTACCCCCAAACCACCTCCCACCTCTGACCCGGAAGAAGAGGAGGAAGATGATGAGGAGGACATCGAGCGAGCCTGGGAAGAGGACAAACCTAGCCGGCCACCATCCCGTCCACTGCTTTCCCCTTCTTCCTCTTCTTCCACCTCAGGGCCCCGGGCCCCGCAGTCCCGGCCTCAGGACACAGATATGGGTGACAGAGAGGAAGACGACGATGATGAGGAAAGGGAGGAAGAGGAGTGTGGCAGCACAGGCAGCAGTGGCGGTAGCGTGAACAGGCGAGCGGCGGTCACGCCGGGTTCAGGAAGCCGGCGAAGTGACGACCACGATGCAGACGATGAGGGTGACGGACACTTAGAAGACAAGAGCAGCAGCAGCAAAAAGAGAAAAAGTCCGGACTCTGAAGACGAAGACGACGATGAAGACGAGGAGGAGGAGTCTGCCTCGCACGCAAACTCGCCTCCAGTCAAAGAAGAACCCCCAGGTGTAGAGCCTTTTTTAGGCATGGAGAACAGCGTGGCCCAGGAGTACGTCAGCAAACAGGAGGAGGAAGAGGAGGAGGAGGAGGCTGAGGAAAGGGTGCAGGAGACCAAGTGCCGGCCCCCCTCAGCAGACCCTCAGCA